CAAACCACTTGTGAGACTGAAGGATCAACTGTCTAGAGGTAGAAAGCAGCACCATCATCACCATCCTCATCATCATCATCACCATCATCATCATCTGAGCCCTGCACGCCACTGACCTGCTATCCCGTAGTACTGTGACGCAGCGCAGGCTAATCTGTTGGGGATGAACGGAGACGCCTCCACGGCGTAACCATGGCGACCTGGACTGCGGAACACCTTGGTGGTCATCATCAGACGCAGCAGGGGATGTGGGCGGAGCCAGAGAGGAGGCAGCTACTGATGACAATAATCAGGACAGAAACAGGATGAAAGAAGAAAAAAACTTTAATTTACAAACTAAATTAAATGTTTTCAGAAAAAACGGATAAATGATGTCAGAGCTGCAAACTGAACAGAATCTGTTCCAGGATGATCTAACAGGTCCTGATTTGCCGGTGATATGATATATATCTGGTTTTATTCAACTTTAAGTTTTGAAACGTTTTGGACAAACTATTTTTATTATTTCATCTTTTGGAGTGTTTACTAAATGAATGTTCCATGCATAAAGCTTTCAGACAGTGAATGAGCAGCTTAGCAGTGAAGTTAACAAACAGCAGAAATAATCTGTGCAATCTTTAATGAGCAATTCCTATTTGATAACCGGAGCAATACCTATATATATATATAAATATCCCCATGGAAACATCCTGTGCAATAACCCGCCATATGAGGACGCACTGTGTGACTGTATATATCCCATCATGCACCTTTTCCTTCCTTTGGCACTTTCTTCTTCTTTGTGACTACTGGAGCTGATGGAAGGAGCACATCTCTCCACTGTGAGATCAATAACATCAATCAATCAATTTCCATTAATAAAATGCAGCCGTGATCAAAATGTAAACAATGTAGGAGAGACTTGGTGCAGAAGGCAATGATACGGGAGGTCTGCAGCAGTTAGAAAATAATAAATAGATAATATGCTAAATGCAGTAGAAACATTGAGGTGAGTTTTATTCAAAGGGATTTAAAAATATGCCATGAAGTTCAAATGATGCAGAGTCTGGATTAGAGTTTATTCAGCAGTTCATCATGATGGCGGCGGGGAAGAAGCTGCTGCAGAACCTGCTGGTCCTGCATTGAATGAAGCCTCTTCCCAGCAGGGAGAACAGTCCATGGTGGGGGGGTGATGGGTCATTGATGATGTCACGAGCTCGGGACACGCAGGAGGAAGGAGTTTAATTTGCAGAAACACTTTTCATCTAAAAGCCTCCTTACTGACGGTCTAAAATTGGAGTTAAATAAGATAAGAATAGAATAGAATAGAATAGAATAGAATAGAATAGAATAGAATAGAATAGAATTAAGCTCTATTCCTAATAAACCAGATTGACCCAGACAGTTCGTCCAAACTCAGCGGTTCTCCTTCAGAGTCTCTCACCTTAAAAATGGATGAAAATCTTTGAAAAATGAAGAAAAAGCTGATTTTTCTGACGTAAACTGATCCTCTGCTGCTCACATCCTCAGCGAACTTCAGCACTTCCGTGTTTTGGTCAGCTGACCCAGTAACCCGGATGAGAGTCCGTCAGACAGGAAGTTCCTACATTCCGCCACCAGATGGTGCTGTTGGAGCATGCAGGCTGTTGGAGGCGCTGGGTTGGAGGAATGGGAACTTGTCAAAACAGAATTTTTATATGTTATACATTTTTTATTATCTATGGTAAATATAATTTTCACACCTCCAAATATTTACAAGAAAAAACAAATTTCCAGATTTTATTATCTTCAATTAATATCTGTATAGAATCCTTAGTTCAAATGCTAAAGCCATGCAAATTCTAACTGCCCTTAAAAACTTATTTTAACCCTCCATACCGTAACCATATTTTTCATGTATGTTCTTTTTTTGCAATAAAAAAAAAAGTGTGGGGTTGAAGTGAAGCCACCGGCCGCCATATTGGTACTCCCTAGTTAAACCGGTCTGAATGTAAACAATCTACACTACAGCATAGAGCAACCATGATGTTCTTGTTTTCAGACTTTTAAAATGAAGATAAATTCATCACTTTGACACAGACTGGCTGTTTAATAGCATCAGTAGATTAATTTAACTTAGAATAAATAAATAGATCCATCACATCGCAGAGTCATTATGAAGTCAATGTCTATAAATCAGGTAATATAATATATTATATAATCCATCATCAGTAATGAAAGTGAGGAAGCTAAATATTCCCTCATTTTGTCCCTCAGCACGGTGTCTCCTTTGTTTCATCGGCTTCATGTTCAGGATTTTAGTGGGAAAAGTTTTTTTTTTTTTATCTTTATTGGTTTTTTATATATTAAACATTCCAACAACATTCGTAAAAATGACTTGTTTGCACATTTTGAGAATGAACACATGTCTACATGTAGGGGACCTTTAAATAATAAACAATAAAGTTAATTTATTACTTATTTATGGATATATTACTTATAATACAACAAAAAACCAAACCCTATGTGTGTTTATAAAAAAAGGACATTTAAATATAAAATATAAAGAAAGTTAAAGAAAAAAACAACAAAAAAAAGTATTCATATTTAGGACACAGTTGAAAATACCGTCACAGATAAATGAAAA